TCTACCCATATCTCGGCCGAGGGAGCTCCTGCCTCTCCGGTTGCTGGCAGGGAACTGCCAGCCTGGCCTCAGCCCTGGGCTTTATAAGGGCCAGGCCCTGCCTCCTACAGGCAGCTGGCTCCCCTTAGTTGCTCCGGCAACCCGCAGCTGCGCTCATTACCCTGGCAACCTTCACCCGGCTCGTTAGGCTCTGCTAGGGCGCTCTCTCCCTGGCAGTTTCTACTCCCTAGGAGCAGGCACTGAGGTGCTCTGCGACACGCCCCCCCCCCCCCAAGATCGGACTCACCGAGGCGGATCTTCACTCTTTTCCAATTCGGTTGGACTCGGCAGCTCTTCCTGGCCTCTCTTCTGGCACCCGGCGTTTTCTCAACAAGTGGCGGAGGTTTTAAGGCGCCCCCTGCTCGCCTTTTCCCCAGGGTGCACCACGTGGGATTTTCCGGGAGTTACCCTGCCAAAGGTAGTCCCCCCACACTAGCTTCTCCCTGGTAGGGTGCAAATTAGCCCTCTGTTCTTTCTGCCCTTGCTGCCTCCACACTCTTCCTGGCGGAGCAGTTTTCCCTTGTTCGGGGTATCTGATCTCCCTTTCTCCATCTCAGTCTTAAGGCCCCTCCTCTGTGTTCCCTGTAATCGCCTCTCCTTTCTTTGGCTTCCTGCCAATCCTGGAGCTTTCCCCAAAGCTCCCATTGCATCTTCAGTGCACGTCGGGCATCTTCCTCCCTCCAAAATTCTACTTTTCCTCGGCCTGTAGATCTGCCACCAGGCCCTGGATATACCTTTACAAATGCGACCCCCCTGATTCTGGCCTCAACTCTTTTCCTCAGGGTCCACCACTTGACTTGCCCTGGGAGGTTATTACTGTAGACGCATGGGCGTCTTCCTCCCCTTTGCTCTCTCTCCCTCTGAGCTACTTTGGTTATTGATGGACCTTCTACCTTTTTTGTTTGACCTGCAATCTGGGTTTGGCCTGGTCTCTTCTGCTGTGCAGCGCTGGGCATCTCGTTCTTAGGGTGGAGCTTGAGACATCTTTCTCCTCCCCCCTTAGTTTCTCTGGGGGGTTGGCTCCTCTGATCCCCCTCAAGCCTTTGGACCTTTCTTTTGCTTGGAGGCTCTACCACTTTCTCTCCTTTAGAAGCTGCCCCTTGTTTTGGTGCTGTCAATATTCCAGCATCGTACCAGCTAGCACCTTTCTCCAGTTTTTCCTTTAGACCGTTCATGTCTTGAGCGTACTGACTCGCCCACTGACCCCATCTTTGATTCAGGCACTCCCTGACTATGGAGGTGATCTCTTCTTTCATCCTTGAGTTTACCCCTGAGAGTGCCTCCATCTTGGTCTTCTTTCCCTGCTGCTCTGGTTCCCCCTCTTCTTTAGGGATTTCTAGGCCCACCTTATTGGACTGTTCCTGACTTCTCAAGCCCTTTAGGAGCATAGGCTGCACAGTCTCTATCAGTCTCTCTGTGTCTATTAACACCTCTTTCAGACCTTTAAGCTCCTGAAGGTGCTCCTCACACCTGGCCTTAGCTTCGGCCGCATGTTTCTCCAACCGCTTGCTTATTGCGGTCAGTCTCTTACTCTGTGCTTGAGTGGCTTGTACCGGTTGCTGCTCGATCTCTCGTCGCAAAGCCAGCTCCCTGGCCGTGCTCTCTTTTAATGAGGTTTTCAGGGCCTGCATCTCTTTCCCCAGTTGGTCTTTTTCCTTTTCTACCCTTTGTCCTTGGGCCTGCAACTGTACACACTCCTGTGTTCTGCTTTTACTTCTGTCTCCAGGGACTGCTTCTGCTCTTCTAATGCCTCATGACTGGCCATATATTCTCTCACCTTCTCTATTCCTTGTGTTATCGCTTTCCCCGTCTTTTCTGCCTGGGCATAGCTCTCTATTAGCTTCTCTCGCATTTCTTCGACCTGGCATTCTGCTTGTAAGCAACGCTCTTGCCAGCCTTCCAGGTCCTCCTGCACTGCTCCCGTTTGGGTTGCTGTACTTGTCACCTCTGGACCCTCCAACTCCCTAGAGTCTTGGCCCTTTGTAGCCGTCTGACTACCTGCTGCTTGTAATGTTTTATTTGCTGCCTCTAAGGCTCGAATCTGCTGCCTTAGGGTCAGTCTTTGCAGCTGCGACTGCTTTCTTTCTGCATTAATTGTTGCCTCTCTAGCTGAGCTGGCTTCTAGGTGGGTTTCAAGGGACCGTACCTGTTCTTCCAGGTGTCCTTTTTCCACCTCCAAGCTTTGCAATTGGGACTGTAACTCCTCATTCTCTCTCTCCCCAGTCTCTAACTCCTTTTCCAGGAATAGGATTCGCTCATGGAGTACATCGTATCTTGCCCTCCATGCTGACATTTCCCTCTGCATCTCTTGCAGATTCTCTTCTCTCCGTCTGCTCCTCTTGGCTTCTTCTGCCATGAGCCGTTCTAGTGTTCGAGTCCTCTCTGCCTCTACTGCAATTAAGCGCCTAATTCCTTTAGGACCTCCTTCCTTTCTCCCTGCTTGTACCCACTGTTCCAATCCAGCGGCCTTTGCCTTCGCCTGCTCCTTCTGGGATTGGGCTACCTCCAGCTCCCACTCTAGCCGCGCAATGTCTTCTTCTAGCTCACTCACTCTCAATAGCCAGGTGAAATTCTCTTGTTTCAGGCTCTCTATGTCCTCTCTTTCTGCCATGGTTCTACTCTTGTTCCTAGACTAGACCCAACGTCCTCAATCTCTCCGTCTCTCGACTGGCAGTATTTCCTTTGATCTGGGCTCGCCTTCTCAAGTCCCTCAATCTCACTGCCTTGTCTTTCTAACAATCTGTATCAGCCCTAAGGTTCGTTTCCTTCTCAGGGACACAAGTTCTTTCCCCGTGCACGGCCGTTTCCCGGCCAATGCACCACTGTGACAGGGGGGCCTCCTGGGGCCGAACTCTGTGGCCCGCCC